ATGAATATAAATTATGTATTACCTAGTCATCTCTTCCATACTAAGTTATTCTAGCTCTTATACCAATTAAAAGGGGAAATTTTAGATTCCTTTCATATATAGTCTCCTGTGATTCATTCATTATTGTTATTTGACCCGCTTATAATACCTCTGCCTTAACCCAAAACTATTATTCAATTCTAATAGAAAGAATAATTTTTTTTTCTTAAAAAAACACCACCAATTAGAAATAATCTAAGGAAAAATTTAAGAACTCTATCTGTGAAAGGTAAGTACTGAACTATTCCCCTATTTATGAAGAGGTACAAGAGACAGATATTCTTGCATTTCAGTTTTTTAAAATTTGGATTATTAGATGATGCTATGTAGGAAACTGCAATAAGTTACCATAGTGCTCATACTGGGAACTCTACATTCCAATGATTACCTACTCCAACTACGCAAAACATCAGAATACCAACAAAATTCTCAAAACTGTATTCACTATAAGAGAAATAAATATATACCACAGAACACGTTTAACTGGGGATGGAAACACAGAACAGCCGAATAAAACACAACAATTCTAGAGTCAAAATATTATGTGCACAAATAACTTTTAGAGGGCATTAACTGTTTATGGAAAGCCTGACCCCTAGTGGTTATAAACTATAGCTACATAACGCCAAAGGATTTTTTTATTTTTTATTTTTTGAACAGCCATTTTTTGAGCAAGTGTGGAAAAGAAAAAGAAAAAAACGTCAGGTGTTTTTATTGGATCTCAATTTCTATCAAAGTAAGAGAAATCTATGCCATTACAAATATGACTGGCCCAAATTGCATTTTAGCTTATACTATCCCCATTAATTGTACTTCAGAAGATCATCTCATCTAAATTCCTTCTTTCACAGATAAAGAATATGAGATTCAGAGAAGTTTAGGAACTTGTGCAGAGTGAAAGACAGTGAACACATAAAAAAGAGGTAACTGGGAACGTCCTTATTTATGAGGTAAAAGAAAGAAAGGCTAACCAAAATAGAGTATGCTGTAAAATTTCCATATCAATACAATTATGAGAGAAGCAAGCATATTTCTTTTGAATGCCTGGCATACAAGCAACACAGCTCTAAAACTTTTCTTTTCATGCAATTGGATGCTCAAGAATTGTTACCTGGGGGAAAACATTGCAGGTCAAAGACTTTGGAGTGCTGCACACAGCAGTCACACAGCAGCTGCAAATAAACACTTCCTCTACACTCTGATTCTATTAATCATCAGTGCCACACATTCCCCACCACCAATGCTGGTTAAAATTCCTTCCACACTCTTCCCTCAGTAGATTCTTGAATGTGGGGAGTCTTCTACCCCAGACACTCTTCTCACTTCATATCCACTTTCTAGGCTTCATTCACATCAAGTCAATACTTCCCAAGTCTAGAAATCCAGCCTAAATCTCTTTTCCTTTGCTCCCAACTTACATGTCCAAGAGCCTACCAAGAATTTTGAACTCTCCACATACAAAGCTGAAAACATCTTGATGCTCAAATCTGCTCCTCTTCCTGCACTCTATTCCTGAATGACCCACCATCTAAAAACCTGGGTCCTTGAGTCTTCCCTCATCCCNGTCATCCTTGAGTCTTCCCTCATCCCCTACTTCCAGGCCCAAGTCAAATCAATCACTATCTGTTCATTTTCCCTTGCCTCAGTTTACACTGCCACTTTCTTAGTTTAGGCCGCCATCATTACTAACCAGCTTCCTAGCTTGTCTCTCAGTCTTAATTTCTCCAAGTAATACACTGGTGCTCCACAAATCCCAAATCTATTCCTGAATAGTCTTTCTAAATCTCAAATTGGATCAATTCAACCGTTCTCTTTGAACCTCTTCTATGGCTTACCACCACTCTTTGGAGAAGATCCAAATTTCTTAATAAGGTTTCCTAGTTTACAAAAACATAACTACACTCATGTGTTCGGCCTCATCTTTAACTGTCCTCCATCACAAACAGCCCACTTTTCTCCCTACACAACTCAAGCACCAAGCTTAGTTACCATCCATTCTCAACTACTTTTTTTTTTTTTAATATATCTTTATTGATTTCAGAGAGAGGAAAGGAGAGGGAGAGAAGGAGATAGAAACATCAATGATTTGAGTCATTGATCAGCTGCAGCCCCCAACACGGGCATGTGCCCTGACCAGGAATCGAACCCTGATCGCCTGGATCCTAGGTCGGCGTTCAACCACTGAGCCACGCCCAGTCGGGCTCAACTACTTTTAATTCCCTGAATATGCCATGCTATTCCCTACAACTAGATATGAAAATAGTATCCCTGCTACCTGGTACCTATTTATCCTCTCCCTTCCCCCGATTCCTTTACTTAGATAACTCATGTTCATCATGATCTCTCACCCAAGGCAATACAAAAAGACCTCATTACTAAAAGAGATCTCCAAAACTTAGATGTCCTTCCTGTGTGCTCCATATAATAGCCACTAAATCACTGGATCGTGGTACCCATTCATTTGTTTCTCTTCCACACCAAAATGTGAGCTCAATAAGCTCATAGTGCAGTATCTGGTACATAACACATACTTTACAATGGTTGTTTAACAAATGAATGAAATCTGCAACAAACCACAAAACCCTCTACTGTACTCTAAATTTATTACATTTCTAGTTTTATAAAGCACTCCCAATGATATATCTGGAATAAAAAAGGAATTGTCCAAAGAGATGTTATAATGGTCAGGCTATAGACTCCAAGTTACCAATCAAACACTAATCTAGGTGTTGCTGTGGAGGTATTTTGCATATATGATTATCATCTATAATCAGTTTACTTTGAAAAAAAGAGTATCCTGAATGATCTGGGTAGACCTGACCCAAATAGTTAAAAGGCCTTATGAAGAGAACTGAGGTTTCTCTGAGAAAGAAGAAATCCCACCGTGGACTAGTGCTTCAGCTTCTGCTTGAGAGTTTCCAACCATTCCTGACCTCCTACCCTGTGGATTTCAGGCTAACCTGGCCAGCTCCCACAACCACATAAGCCAGTTCCTTTCAATAAATATCTTCGTACAGTTCTGTATCTCTGATGGAACACTGACTCATAAAGAGTCAGAACAAAAGTACACATCAAACCAGATCTGAATATAGCATGGTAAAGAGGTCCAAAAGACCAGAATTGAGGCCCTGTGCTATGCAACTGACTTTCACTGTTTCATTTAATCCTCACACCAACTCTATAAAAGTAAGTTATTCTCATTCCTTCATTCATTCAACATATATTTGAATGCCTACCACATGCCAATCATTGCCAGTCACTGTTCTAGATATGAGGAATACAGCCTGAAAGCACACAGACTAAGTCCCTGCTCTCATGGAGCTCAGAGTATGGGTAAGGACAATGAACCTGAGTGGTTACAGAAGCATGCTGAGTTCATGATGCATTATTATGAGTTTATGAGACAATGATACCATCAACTGCTGATGTAAACAGTCACCTAAAGATGCAACTAAATGTTTATGCAAACTATTGTATCTTTCAACTTCAACATTTTAGGTAGAGAAGAAACTAAAACAATGAGGGAAGTTGAAATTCCCATGAAAAAGGATTGTACAGCACAAAAAGCAGAGAGCTGACTGCATTTAAGAAGACTTTTAATAATGAGCTGGACAAAGAAACAAATGAAAACAAAAGAATAGCCTCAGAGGCAGAAGAATCAGAACCCAATTTTGAAGACTGAGGAGGAAAAGCCATCAGTAGTACAGAGGGCAACAGAGTTCAAGGAGGAGGAAGAATGAAAACAAACTTTAGGATTTAGTAACTTTAGAAAGCTGAGTTTCAATAGTATGTGTGTGTAGTTCAGAAAAAAAATAAAAGCTTTTATAACAGAAAGTAAGTAGCAAAACACAGTCCAGCCTTCAGTGAGTTTTGAGAAGGACAAATGGCAAATGTACGAGTGAAATATTTCAACAAGAGTGCAAAGTGTTCTTAAATATAAGGTACAATTATTTCTGTGCATCCCTTGTACATGTTCTCAAGTTACTGGGCATTGAAAAATAAAGAAAAAATGTTGCATAGGCTTATTTTCTTTAGAATTGAGACCCACCGAAAGTCTTTATCATTTTAAAACACAGGTGTTGCCCAGTCAACGATGCTCAGTGGTTGAGCATTGACCCATGAACCAGGAGATCACGGTCTGATTCCTGGTCAGGACACATGACCGGGGCTCCATCCCCAGTGGGGTGTGTGCAGGAGGCAGCCAATCAATGACTCTCTCTCATCATTGATGTTTCTATCTCTCTCTCCCTCTCCCTGAAATCAAAAATGCATTAAAAAACACACACACAAAAAACTTTAAAAAAAAAATAAATAAAACATAGGTGTTATTCCAAGAGTTTCTATATCATATTTAAACACATGTAGAATATCAAAAATATGTATCTAAAACAACATTAAACTTCATGTAAACAAATAAAAACACTGATTTTTCTCCTACCCTATGTAATGATTTTTTAGGGCTGTGAAAACAGCCACAGAAATTGTATAGGAGGAAGTGCAGATACCTGGGCAGTCACTAAAAACAAAATTCATGTCATAACCCAGCCTGAGCCTCTCACCAGGTCACTTTATACCCTTAGATAAATAATTTAGTGTCTTTAAATTTTAAATACAAATAAAACACATGCCACACTTCATTACTCAAGCTAATATGTTTAATATTCAAAAAAGAAATCAGAATATATAAAAATAATCCAAATTTTAAAATAAAGTTTACTCTTCAATTGATGAAAAAAAATCTTCAGTTAACAGGATTTTAAAATATTTCTTTTTTACAGGAAGTTAAAAATGTGATGCAATTTTCAAAATTATATCTATGTATACTATCAATTGTAAAAAGTAATCCTCAGAGAGCAAACTCATACAAAAAGAACGAAAAAAAATGGCTTGAAGTTACACTAAAGAGCAAAATGGGGAAATGAGTTTCCTATAATAAGTTGCAGGCATAAAATTTCACTTACCTTTTTAAACATAACTAGTGAGATGACTGCTGATGCTGTGAAAAGTGCTGCTATGATTATCATCATGATTCCAACAGGAATACTTTTGTTGAGACCAGTAAGGGATGAAATCCAACCACTATGAAGTAATTAAAAGTATGATTAGGCAAATAAGTCAATGCACATTTAAAAAAAAACAACACATAACTTCTAACACATATTCAGCTCTTATGAGCCAAGGAACGTTCATATTCTTCATACGTGTTAATTCATTTCATTCTCGCAACAATTCTATAAGATAATGCTGTTTTTAATATCTATTTTAGAGGTGAAGAACTGAGTCACAGAGATATTCAGTACCTGCCCAAGGTCATTCAGCTAATACATGTCATAGTCTGAATTCAAACCCAGACATCAAATGATTTTATATTTTTTAAGCCTAGGAATTCATTACTTTCTTTTAAAGTTCATTTTAAATTCTGCTTAATTATGGAAGAAAATATTTGCAAACCATATATCCAACAAAGGGTTAGTATCCAGAATATATAAAGAACTTTCAAAGCTCAATGGTAAAAAAATTTAAAAATCATAGAAAAATGGGCAAAAGACATGAAGAGATATTTCATGAAGAGGATACAAAGATCACAAATAAGTACATGAAAAGATGCTAAACATTATGAGTCATTAGGGAAATATATATTAAAACCTTGATTAGATATCACTACACACCTAATCAGGATGGCTAAAATAAAAACAGGGACAGTACCAAATGCTGGTGAGGATGTGGAGGCTGAATCACTCATACATTGTTGGTGGGACTGTAAAGTGGTACAGCCATTCTGGAAAACATCTGTCAGTTTCTTTAAAAACACTAAACATGCAACTTCCATATGAACCAACAATCACAACCTTGGGTATTTATCACAGAAAACTGAAAGTTTATATTCACACAAAAATCTGTTCACAAATGTTTATAGTGGCTTTATTCATAATAGCCCAAACTCGAGAAACTCCAGAGTCCTTCAACTCTGGTTACACAAACTGTGGTACATCCATACCATGGAACACTACTTAGGAATAAAAAGGAATGAACTACTAATACAACAACCTGGATGACTCTCCCGAGAATTACGCTGAGTGACAAAAGCCAAAGGTTACACACTGTATAATTCCATTTATATAATTATGTAATTTCTATAATTCCATTTATATAATTCTTGAAAAGACAAAATAACATGACAAACAGATTAGTGATTGCTGGTGTTGAGGAGGGAATCAGGGCAGGAGGAAAGTGAATTTGGCTATAAAAGGGCAACATGAGGGATCTTTTGGTGATAGAAATGTTCTCTACCTTGACTATCTCAATGTCAAGATCCTGGTTTTGATATTACACCATAGTTTTACCAAGATATCATACCAAGATATTACCACCAGGGAAAACTGGGGAAAGAGTATCTGGGATCTCTCTACATTACTTATAACTGTATGTGAACCTACAATGAACTCAAAGTTTCTTTTTAATTTGCTGAATTCCATGAGGTTCATCTTAAAACTGGTCACCCTATATCACCCTCACTAGCAGATTCTTTTGCTATTTCATTACTACACATGCTGCTGTGCTCAATTTTAACACTTTTTCTACGTTTGTGCTAAAAAGCAAGACATTACACTTCAATTCCATAATTAAAACCCATGTGCTGTTAATATGCCAGTATTTTGTTGTTGTTAATCCTCAGCCAAGGATATTTTCTACATTGTTTTTTTTTTGAGAGAGAGTAAGTGGAGGGGGGGGGAGAAAGAGAAACATCAATGTGAAGAGACACATCGATTATCAATTGGTTTTCTCCCGCACACGCCTTGACCAGAGCTGGAGATGGAACCTCCAACCGAGGTACGTGCCCTCAGCTGGGAATCAAACCCGAGATCCTTCGTGGGCAGGCCAACACTCTCACCACTAAGCCATGCAGGGCAGGGCATAAGTGGTATTTTAAAATTAAATATTTAAAACATTTCTGTTCCCTCAAATGCCAAAGACTAAACACTATTTAAAATGATAATACTACTTTTTCCTAGAATTGATTTAAAATACCTATGTAAATTCTCTGCATGTATATATGCCCATTAGGAAACCTGCAAAGCTACAGATAGTTGTCTGATTGCCACTCACTACTCCGATTCAGCAGCATACTAAATTAAGTCCTTGATACACTCTAGTCACATGATCATTTTAGTTTATGTACACAGTGCAGCAAATGTGCCTCATATATGCCCTTAGCTTATAAGAACTCAACTGTATGTAACAGTTATAAAAGAAAGAAGAGAGAGAGGGATACTTTGAGATGTGTACTCTTCCACCTGCCATTTCATTCAAGGAATGTTTGCTCCAGAGTGTATGAAGAGAGATATAAATCTGCTATTATCTCCTAGCCTGGATCCAAATAGTGTCCATTTCTGATGATCCCCCAATGAGCGACCATTTTGCCATGCTAAGAACAATTCGATTATTTAAAGATATATGTACAGATCTGGAAGCAGACCAAGTGTCCTTCAGTAGATGAGTGGATAAAAAAGCTGTGGTACATTTACACAATGGACTATAACTCGGCTGTAAAGAGGAAGGAAATCTTACCCTTTGGGACAGCATGGATGGACCTGAAGAGCATTATGCTAAGCGAAAAAAGCCAGTCAGAGAAAGACAAGTACATATGATTTCACTCATGTAGAATCTAATCAACAAAATAAACTAAAAAACAAAACAGAAACAGACTCACAGACAGAGAACAGACTGACAGCTGTTAGAGGGGAGTGGGGTTGTGTGGCTGGGTGAAAAAGATAAAGAGATTAAGTAAAAAAAAAACACACCAAAAACTCATAGACACAGACGACAGTATGGTGATTAACAAAGGGAATCGGGGGTGGGGGGAGTAGAGGAAGATAGAAGAGGTAAAGGGGGGATAAATAGTGATGGAAGGAGACTTGACCAGGGATGGTGAACACACAATACAATATACAGATGATGTGTTATAGAACTGTACACCTGAAACCTATATAATTTTACTAACCAACGTCATCCCAATAAATTCAATAAGAAAAAAATATATGTATATATGTATGCAGTGGTTCCATTTTTCAAAGACATGTGTCCATGTGCATGTGTGTGTGTATGAAAACATGTTTGTATACCTAAAAGAGTGTTTTACATATAATAGGTCCCTTTTTCCTTAAAATACTTGAATTTCTTTTCTCTCCCTTCCACTATTCTTGGCCCTCTTATCTGATCATTTCTCAGTCTCCTTTTTACTTTTCCTCTTGGTGCCCATTATATACACATTTTACTTAAACTAGATATAATGTGCTGTTTTTTAAAATGGGAACATAATTTTCAAATAGAATGGTTTGTCCAAAGGTTATGCCTTAGAAAATTAAATACTAAAAAATACAGTTTTTACTTTTATTATTTATTTACTTTTGCTAATCTGGCTTTTCTCTGTTAACTATTTTTAGGGAGCCAAAAATTATATAGAGATACTAGATGAACAGATTAGAGAAATAAGATGACTTACCAGTTGCCCCAGTTGTGAAATCCTGCAGCCTGTAGTACATGGACAGCAAACTGACAAATATAGACGAAGAAGAATACAAAGAACCTGAATGAACTGTCACTCCTTTGAAACAGGGAGAAAGAAGGAAAAAATGTCATTTTTCTCAATACCTTTACATCACATGCAGACTGACAACATTAAAACATAAAATAATTTTAAATATACCAGTGGCAACTTCCTGAGGCTTGAAATTACAATAACATAATAATTTATGTGAAGCCTTTATCCAAACACTAAATGATACTGTTTTTACTACTGCAACCTCACTTTGTCCTTTCAATTTCTAACTGTACCACAACACATACTGGCAAAAAAGTTGTTTTCCTTTTATTTTGATTTTTTTACTAAATAGCTTCACTGAATTATAATTAACATACAATAAACTGCAAATATTTAAAATGTACAATTAAATGGTTTGACATATGTATATACTCGTGAACCTTCTCCAATAAAAATAGTAACCTTATCCCAAAAGTTTCCTTGTACACATGAGTACTCCCCCCCACTCTATCCTGTTTTCTGTCAGTATAGTTTTCATATTTTAGAGTTTTACGTAAATGAGATCATATACTACATACTTTTTCTGTCTGCCTCTTTCACAAAGCACAATTAGTTTGAGACTCATTCATGCTGCAAGTGTCTAACATTCATTCCTTTTCTTTGCTAAATAGTATTGCATTGTATAGATATACCAGTTCTAGTCATTCACCTGTTGATAGTCATTTAGGTTATTTCTAGATTTTTACTCTCACAAATAAAGCTGCTATAAATATTCACGTATAAGTCTTCATGTGAACATGTATTTCCTTTTCTCTTGGGTAACTACCTAGACGTGGAATGGTACAACACATGGTAGGTTTATGTTTAACACTTTAAGAAACTGCCAAACTGTTCAAAGCGGCATTTATTCCATTTTATGCTCCCAACAGCAGTATCCAGTTCCTCTACCTCTAACACTTGGTATGGTCAATCCTTTACATTTTAGCCATTCTAACAGGGGAATAATAGTATCTCATCTGACGTCACTTTGCACTTTCCTAATACCTAATGTTGCTGAGCATCCTTTCATGTGCTTTTTGTCATCCATGTATCATCCTTGGTGAACCATTGACCACCTATAAAGCCAAAAATTTGCATTCGTATCTCTAATCCTCTTATCAACTCTGCAAATATTATCCCGAATTTACACTCAACAAATTGAAGCACTAAGAGTTTTTACTGCACTTTCCTAGGAGCACACAACTTTTAAGTGGGGAAATCAGAATTCTAACCCTTTCTCAGTGTGTTTCCAATAGTTACACTTCTTCAACAACTCACCACCTCATTAATAATTACCTAATATTTTACATTATTTACATAATGCTTAGTGATTTGTGGAAACATAAAATTAAGAACGAAGTTATAATCTTTTAAAAACATATAAATGACAAAATGTCAGCTCCAAGTTTAATTCTGACACCAAATAAACTTGACTTTTAGAAGCACGTACACCTGGAGCATCTCTACATATTCTTCTAACAGCCAGGCAATGGGATGGCCAGACAGAGGACAAAGCCCTTCAAGTGCGGCAGTAACAGCAGCTCAGGCTGAAAACTAGACAGCACATGCGCGTAGAACAGCATTTTACACAATCTGAAACCAGCCTTTTCATGAACTTGTGATATGCTGATGGTGCCAGTAAGAGAGGAGGTTTTTCCTCAATTTCAGAGAAAAATCTTCAAAAAGGTAATCCAAAAGAAGACTAACTTGAAAATAACTGATCTTATACTTATAGATACATCACTAATATGGTATCAACATTAAATTCCTTCTGAATTCAAACATTTTTGGGGTGCTTTTGAATATCACCCAATTTTTATATATGAATTCTAACCAAAGCTTCAAAACCGCCTACTTTTTTTTTATCTTTATTGTTGAAAGTATTACAGATGTTCCCCCTTCCCCCCCATTGATCCCCTCCACCCTGCACCCC